CGGATCTTTCTACGTGTGGTCTCATTTTGTAGGTCTCGTAAGTAAATAAAAATCTTATATGAAAGGTTGCTGTCAACACTTTCGATTGAATCCAAAAAAACACGTTTTCTCATTTTTTGTTGTCAAAAGTTTTCCCCCAAAAATTGGTGTACCCATTATATGCGTCCATGTTTTAAATACCTCCATAAACAACTTGCACCAATAAAACCAGACTTTACAATTATTTCAGGTAAATTTGCTAATATGATTATACTATAGGGATTTCCTGTTATCAAAATTCACCTATGGAGAGAAAAGCTACTTCCAGTGGGCATTGCACTCAATGATAGTGATTTTTTGAGTTAGTTGTGAAAAAAGATAGTTTTGTCATATTAATTATAAGTTAAATTTTTGAGAGTGCTTTTTCCAGAATAATACTTTTTCTGTCCCACTATTTGTTTAGCTACTTCTGGAAGCCATCCAACTTGCCAAAAAACCAACACAAAATGCCATGTATTTTGAAAAAACTATTTTATTGCAACAAGTTATCAAAAGAACATTCAGTAATTGATATCATAGTCTAACATTTTTCGTGATATCACCCACCATATACCCATAAACCCAACATCCAGAATTCTTTCTGACAATTTTGTGTAAGGTACTTGTAAATAGGCACATTTACACTCATATGTATCACAGTCACTGCTAAATTCATCAACCCAAATTACAGAAAACAGTCCAAGGTTGGCATATCGAATTGTATTTGCGTTGAAACATCTCTCAATGTATTTAAGGTGGTTTACAGAATCAGGGTTGGCGACATTTAAACTCACTAAAGCCACATCATTTGCACACTGGATATACTTAGCTCTGAAGCTTTTCGAGTTGGGATTACTTGCCATACACAGTGTTAAAAATCCGAAACCTGTTATGTATAGGACTGTCTTGCCAGGTTTTGCCCTGGCCTCGTCTTTCAGAGATATTGCAACATCACGATAGTCCCTTGCAACAAGCTTCCAGTACTTCACCCAGTTCTCGACGATTGTTCCCTTGATTTTAGCGTTGAATTTTTCTGTAATAGTCTTCCACTGTTCTACACTGGCTATGCTTACATTAGAATAGTTCACTTTGGAAATCCTCAAAAACTTCAGGCGATTCATATTGCATAACCACAGAACCAAACTGATGAGTGACTACGAGAAGTGTTGTTCACTTAGAATAAACGAGGCTTAGAGTTATGTTTTTGTGATTCCTTTGAGGTGTAGTTAATTTTGAATTACTTTATAATTTGAATTTAAATTTTTAACCTATATCGACTGTCACCATACATGACATCAACGTCATTGGCACAAGTCATTGTTGTCACGGGACGTACATTCCAGCTATAACCTCAGAACAAAACATGTATATGACAAGCATGCTAAGTCCAACGTTGCCAAGTTATGAAAAATAGTGATGGGCAAAGCAGTAATTCGTTATTCATTACATAGTCTAATTCATATTATACGAAAATACCCCTGGTTTGAGCAATACTTGTAAAGTTTGGTCAGATTGCTACACCAATTCTTGTGGGAAAACTTTTTATTCGACAACAAAGAATTGGAAAACGGGTTTTTTTGGGATTCAATCGAAAGTGTTGACAACAACGAAAAAACCTTTCATATAAGATTTTTAGGTATTTATGAGACCACACGTAAAAAGATCCGACTAATAGCAAACATGTTATGGTCGAGAAACGAGGCAAAATGCAGATTTTGGCTCTTGTTGGTAATGCGACGATAATTTCACGCAACTACTTCAAATTCGTAGGATTCATACTTCTAAATAAATACAACAAAATTAGAGTAGATTGGTCAGATAGTTTTTGAGAATTTCTAATTGTTCAAAACGCCTGTTTTCCGGCCATAACTACAAGCTTATTAAGTAATATACAGGGTTAGTTCAAAGTTCACTTTATAGCAAAATACAGTAATTTACCTTGTCGATATGAATCGCAAACCATTCCAGAAGATAAATGTTATTTTTATGCAAAAAGGATGGGCTACGTTTTTGCTTCGAAACAAATTCACATCATTTCGTGAGTAATTCGCTACAAAAGCTGATAGACACATCCGCTTTGTTTTAAAATGTGTATAGTAACGTATGTTTTTCGAATATTGTAGCGCATTTGTTCAATTACTCACAAATACGAAATGTTTGAATTTGTTTAGAAGAACAAAATGTTTAACCTTTGTTTTTGGCATAAAAATAATATTTATCTTTCAGAATGGTTTGTAATTCATATCTGCAAGGTAAACACGGGTATTTTGCTATTAAATGCTCTTTGAACGATCCCTGTATATTGCTCAATAAACTAGTAGTGTTATTTAGAAGTATGGATCCTACGGATTTGAAGAATTTCAAGTAGTTGCGTGAAATTATCGTCACATTACCAACAAGTGCTAAAACCCACATTTTGCCTCGTTTTTCGGCCATAGCATTTTTGCGATTAGTCGGATATCTTTAAATGTGTGGTCTCATTTTATAGGTCTCATAAATACATAAAAATCTTAGATCAAAAGTTTTTTCGTTCCTGTCAACACTTTCGATTGAATCCCAAAAAACACGTTTTCTCATTCTTTGTTGTCGAATAAAAAGTTTTCCCACAAAAACTGGTGTACCCATTTTATGCGTCCATGTTTTATATAGCCTCTTGAATGACTTGCACCAATAAAACCAGACTTTACAATTATTTCGTGGAAATTTGCTATTATGATTAGACTACTCGTAAACTTTACAAACGTCCTTAAAGGAACGTACATAGAGATTATAGGACAACTTTATTCGACGCTCTCTGAGAACTCTATACGCTGTTTTTTCAATAGTAAGTAAGACTGAGTGGTCAAGTAGTTAGTTAATTGTGCTTTATATCTGTATCGGATGGATACAGTATTTTTAATGTATAGGCACTATATTTGCTGAATTTTCAAGCTCACCAATGGGGAGAGCATCTAGTTACACCAGTAATGGGTAATCTCTTTTTTTACAGATTGTAGATAATTTAATGAAAGTATTCGTTGGGATCGAAATGACTGGACAAAGTGTTGAATTTGAGCAAAAGTTTAACTATCGTAGGCCAATGTATACGATTTTTGACTATCTTTGGGAGATTCCTCAACATCGAGAATGTTTTAAGTAAGTTAATTGATTCTAACATAGCTTTGATATTATTTTATCTTTGGACACTTCATATGCAAAATTTTACAAAAGAAAAAGATATCCTTCCGGCCGAAAATAGTGACAGCAGAGTGCGACCGGCGACCGAGCCTGAAACTACCGTAAAATCTCATTTATGCACGCGATTGGTTGGTCGCACGTTGTGAAAAAGCTGTCGTATGAATTTTTTACTGGTTAGACGCGCGATGTTGTTCAACAGCGCTACCAACGGATCTCGACACGGACAGTCCGTCTGACATCAATATGCCAATGTCATAGACTCTTGTCAACACAAATCGCGTGTATATATGGGCGCTAAACTCTAAAGGTGCACACCCATTGGAGGGTTGGAAAGCGCTGAGAAGAGAACATTAACACTTCCACGGGGTTCCTTTACACACAATCAAATGAGATTTCCACATTAGGGCGACGCGAAATGGACCGACCTGTCACGCAAGATGCGTGGAAATGACAAATGTCGTCACGGTTCTATTCGCGTGCCTTCTCATCAGTTGGCGTTTGACTTAAGAGCACGCGACACAACATCAGTCGAAACTGCTTCACATTCGGGTCTCTTTTGATCTCGGCTATTGCAGAAAACTCCAGTGTCATACCAGTCTGTGTGTCGAGTGACATTGTAATAAATGTCTCCGATACAACGACTTTGATATCAAAGGCAGTGCAGGATTACTGTACCTCACATAGCGTTTTCTGTGAAGGATCTTTTAGGCAGTAGAATAATAGTAGAAGAAATATCTTACAGTTTTTTTCAAAATAAATTGTTTCTATAGGAACTTAGCAATAGAAGCAGAACAAAACATGGAAGCTGTCAATCCTCCAATATTTTTGCGATTTGCCAATCTTCTCATTAACGACGCGATCTTTCTTTTGGACGAAGCTTTGGCAAACATGGCGAAGTTAAAGGAGATGCAAAGGGCACAGTGAGTATTCTGTACTTTCTGAAAAATCACGGAGTCACGAACAATTAACGTTACAGTGTTTCTAGCTATTTTTCAACATGATTGTAATATTTGCTTTACCTTATCAGTACATCCAAAGATACGTCACTATAATTGATGTTGGATATCAAATTAATGTTTTTCAGGGACAATGGAGAATGGAACAACCTCAATGCACGAGACAGGGTGCAAAACATATCTTACATGCAGCACATAGGAAATATGGCCAGATTTGACAATATTTTAGGCAAAGATACTATCATTACTTTGGAGAAGTTGACGTCCGAAATCTCAAGGGTCTTCACTCACTCTACTATGGTTGACAGGATAGCGTCGATGTTGAACTATTTTCTCTTGAACTTAGTAGGACCAAATAAAAAGAACTTTAAGGTAGCTGCTGATGAAAACCAAGTCTTTTCTAATTTTTGTGTGCGAAGGTATAAGTCAAGAACAATAAAATAATAATTAATAATGTTCATTGCCACAAGTGCAGGTAAAATACCTAAATATAGTGAACAACAAACAAAAAGAACCCAAAAATGCACTTACATTTGGGTGAGTTAAAACTAGGAGCACAATAAATGACTAAACAATATAAACAAAGAGATATCAAAAAATAGTGTTTTTTTGTAATTACTATCACAGTTCTTTACGAACAAAATTATAAATTACTTTCATAGAGAATAGCTGTATCATCCGCAATTTTTTTCAAACAAAGTAATCGTTACTTTAGTTTTTTTTCTGGCTAATAACTGTAATCACATATATAAAATGAAAATCCAAGTTAATTTTTCGGGCAGTCAGGAATTTCTCATTGATTTTTCGTTTTAGGTAAAAAATGCGAAAGAGTACCAATTTGATCCAGCGGGTACTGTGTTGAAAATATGCAAGATTTACGTGAACCTGAAAGACAGTGATGCATTTTGTCTGGCAGTTTCTCAAGATGGTCGATCGTACAGCCCTAGCCTTTTCGCGTTGAGTGAGGATGTTTTGGTTAGAATAGGAGGAGGCAGTCTAATCGGAGAGATGAAAGAGGTGGCCGAAAAGGTAATTGCCTAGCGATCAAAACAACTTTTATGAAGAATAAAACAGTACAAAGTGCCATGTATTACCGGAATCGACCACTGCCCAATAGCCATGATTCACCTGACCATGGTTGACCGTTTGTGGTCGGATGAATGAAAACCAAATTACTAGCTAATTTTTATGAGGTTTCAGATTGTTGAACAACTACGTTTTTCGATGATCATTTATAGGGTGGTCAAAATTTTTAATCGAAATACATGTACAAAAGCTACTTAAGGTTAGGCGTAAGAATAGCATTGAGTTAAGGGCCGTCCCTCACCGCCAGATTCAGTGTATTTCTGCCTTATATATATACATATATATATATATATATATAAAGGTATGCCATTTATAGTCATGGATTCGTTTACAACAGAACAACGCATTTTGGTTATCCAAACTTATTACGAAAACGGGATATAAAAAACACTTGTCGCAAGCTTCGCACTAGTTTTGGCCGACATGGACGCCCTACAGAGCCTGGAATTCGTAGGATTGTTAATCGTTTTGAGGAAACTGGTTCAGCTGAAGGTCGTAGACCATACCAACATGCTCGTCCAGCTCGTACTCGTGAAAACATAGCCGCAGTGAGTGAAAGTGTGTGAGAAGATCCAACCATTTCGACTAGACACCGTTCGCATCAATTGGGAATTAGTGAGACCACTTTACGCCGGATTTTACACATTGATTTACACCTCCATCCATACAAAATCCAACTAACACAAGAATTGAAGCCGGCAGGCCCGGCAGATCATCAACAGCGGCGTGTTTTTGTTAATTGGATGCTGGAAAGAGACGACGGATTTTCGGCCAAAGTGCTCTTTTCTGATGAGGTTCATTTTCACCTCAATGGGTACGTAAATAAGCAAAATTGTAGATTCTGGAGGGCTGAAAAGTGACTGTTTGGTGCGGATTATGGGCTGGTGGCATCGTTGGACCATTCTTCTTTGAAGATGCCGAAGAAAACGCCATTACCGTCAACGAGGAACGTTATCGCGTCATGTTTACAGACTTTTTGTGGTCACAATTGGATCTTTTTTTTGCCGACGATCTTTGGTTTTATCAAGACGGAGCAACGGCTCACACATCTCGCCAAACAATCGCCTTATTGCACACGAAATTTGAAGACCGCATAATTTCACGAAATTCAGATGTCAGTTGCCCCCCGAGATCGTGCGATTTAACACCTCTTGACTATTTTCTTTGTGGATTTTTGAAAGGAAAACTGTATGCGAAAGGTCTCCAGACAATTGAAGACCTAAAGCGCAATATTCGGACTGAAATTGCGGCCATAGACCCGATAATTCTGGGAAAAGTCATTGAAAATTTTGATGTTCGGATGTTGGCCTGTAAACGAAGCCGCGGTGGTCACATGACTTATGTTATTTTTCATACATAAATCGCATAAACCAACCTTCATTTATCAATAAAAAAAAATCGATTTCACCTCGTAAAAAGCGTGTTGATTTTTCAAATAGGAAAAAAAGTAATAGATGACGCACTCTGTACATCAATAATTACAAACGAGGACGTCAGGAGCAATAGAAATAATATTCCATGATAAATGTAGATCATTGTGATTACTGTTAAGTATTGAACCAATCTATTCGACAGTCATTTTGTTATTTTTGTGACTAGGTAGCAAAGATGGCGCATGAGCACGAGGCACGAGAGGAAGCAACAGCAGAAGCTCCCGAGCATTTCTTAGACCCCATCATGTCCACGCTGATGGTAGATCCTGTCATTCTGCCTAGTTCTAAGCAAACCGTTGATAGGACCACGATTGCGAGGTGAGTTAGTGAATCGCTTTATAGTTCTCACGCCAATTGGTGAGTAAGTATTGATCGCGAGAGGTTTCAAAAATTAAATTCTATTTCATCTGAGTGCTTTGCCGTAACAGGGGTATGTGAAGCATGGAATCAATGTACCTGAAGCTATTCTTACATATGCGACAACCTTTTTCGGATTATAATCGAGATACGGATATTTTTTTAGCGAAATCGTACCGCACAAGCTAGAATACCATAATAATATGTGAATATCATTTTTCTAGACAAAAGCACTTCAAAAGCTTCTCGAAATATTTTGAAAATCCCAAAACTGACAATTGATAGTCAAAATACCTAATTTGCTACCTACACCATATTTCACGTGTATCCATTACGTTTTAACGTCTACCGAGGTGAAAAGCTGATGAGCAAGTGACATCTTTGTACTAGTCTGTAACGTTGGCAATAATGAATCGGGTATAAATGTGGTAAGAGTCAGGACCTTATTCATTTCTTGTATGCGAAGAACCTTTCCAAATAAAGTAGTTATCAAGTCCAAAATGAAACTGTAGTGTACAGAAAACTACAACAAAATACTGCTTTGTCTATCAGAATGTTACAAAAATCACTTAATAACTGCCTCTGACATTCGGCATTTCAAAGGTTGTCAATTATATAATACCGTATGTCAGAAACGATGAACCAAACATTTTCCAATCGTTCTAATTTTTCACAATAAATAGCACTTCGTTAGCATGCTAAGATTGCGGTAGTCGCTATATCTATATATCATCGTCATATCAGTGTAGTCTGATACCGAAAAGGAAGATATCAGCAAAACACATCACACGCTACTTCTGGCGCGACGTGCCTTTGAATTGACAAAGTTAGTGCGCTCGTATTTAAAGAACTGACGCGCTGGCAGTTGCGTGCGATATGTTTTACTGCCTCTTCCTTTTTGGTACTCACTATAGTAGCATGCATTCTATTTTATTCTATTATAAGGATGAAGTTTGAAGTTTAATTTGATTCAGTCTTCACACCATCTAAAATATAAGTGAAAGAGATTTTATATTTATGTTTTCTTAAGTTTTCTCTGTTCCTGCAATAAAAGAAGAATGAAAACAAATGTTTCTTTTCAGGCATTTGTTGAGTGACCAAACAGATCCATTCAACAGATCACCATTGTCAATGGAACACGTGATTCCTAATACTGAACTCAAAGCAGAGATCGAGGCGTGGTTGGAAGAAAGAAGAAAAAAATAGTTTTTTCTCAGTAATAGATGGAACACAATGCAAATGCGAGTCGCGTGAGGATTTAATAAATAATTTGACCTTTACGTAAAATCCCTCAATTTTGTAATTTTATTATAAAAATTATTTACCTATTAAATTCGATATTTTTGTTAACGTTGCAATTGGTAGAACTGTGGAGCAGGTGTGTATACACTAATGCAGATTTGTGACCTATTAAAAATATGCATCACTATTTCTCAAATTAGTTATGAAGAATTTGGATTATATAGGCAGCAAGGCAGCTATTCAAACATTGTAATCTGTTGTTATCTCTTAGATAAAAGTGAAGTGCTAAGCATTCTTCAGCCTATACAAAATCTTAAAAAGTATATGTTTCCAAAAGGAGGAAGAATGAATGAACCCAGTAACTGCCACTAAACTACCCAATAATTTAAGAGTTCCCATACCTGTTCATATTCCCGTGTATGCTTGCTTCATAGTATGTTTTAGCCTAGTTTTTATTTTATTGGCTTCACAGAAAAAAGCCAAAAAACAGGTACACAAGCTTTCAATGGCAGCGATGCCTAATTTTGCTTCTGCTAAGCGGGGCTGATGTGGTTGAAGGTCAAACCAAAGAATAAGTTATACCAAGAAAAGACAGTTAGATAAGGCAAATAAAAATAGAGATAGATAGAGACGTAACCTTAAACATGGCATCCACAAAACAGCTGATGCGTCCAAACACGTGTTGTTCTTATTTGGTTAGAGATAAATGCGATGTTTCCAGACGGATAGATAATCATTTAACAAACCCATGCCTACTTACAGGGAAGAATTGTAATCGCTAAAATTTTCGGAAATGGATGATACATGACATATGTACATCACGAAAAACCATGTCACTTATTTCCGTCCGTCTGTCTGTCTGGCTCTGCCCGCTAATCCTATAATCTCCTATAACTGATTGCCTTTTCATTTAACGAAAATCTCTGTCCTCCAAGCGCAACTTTTAGATGAGGGAACAAAAAGACGTAGCTTAGGGCTAGATCTGTTAAGTAAGGCGGATGGTCAAGCAGTTCAAACGGTAATTCGTGAGGCGTTGTCTTGGTGAAACAGGATTTTTTTCTGCAAATGTGGCCGTTTTTCAGAAAGCTCTGCCTTCAGCTTGTTAAGCAATGCTGCGTAGTATATTCCTGTAATGTTTATTCTTTTTGAAGATAATATGTTGAAATAACTCCATGACTATCCCAAGAAACAGTCGCCATCCTGTTGAAAACATTTTTTTGTAGCAGCTCCCCCTTTGCAGTCCACTGTTTGGACTGTATGATTGTTTCAGGCATATAATGGTGTATCTAAGTTTCATTTACAGTAATTAATTGGCGCCAAAACTCGGATTTATTGCGCCTAAACTGCGCCAACAGAGCGTTGGAAATGTTTATTCGAACACGTTTTTGGTCTAACGTGAGCAAACGCGCACCCAACGGAAAGCTTTCTCATATCTAAATGTTGATTTAATATGTGACAAACACGTTCTTTTGACATGTTCATAACCTCTGCTATCTCTCTCACTTTAATTATAGATGGACTATCGGTAGGGCAGGGAAATAATGTTTATGGACTAATTGTATGGGTCTGTTTGACTGACTTTTCGGAGGGTCTAGTTTATGCTGAACCAAGCAGTAGCTAGCCATTCCGCGCCTAGAAAAAGCTGCAACTCACACTTCGCCAGCATTCTTTGCGAAACCAACAGTATCATCATCAACACAGATCATTAGTACGCTAATTACCATTGCAGTGTATCCTTCCAGCTACAGTTTATGCCATAGGAACTATAAATGGTCTCCAAAAGCTCATATCCAAAGCAGATGTTACATATCAAATCAGAGCCAAAACCATATAGCTCAAGCGTCATCACGTTTAGGAAACGTTTAATATAAGTAAACATGAGGTGGCCTTTTTCGGAGAAAAACCTACATAATGTATTATAAAGATATTCCATGAAGTGTCTTCTCTCGGTATAACTACTCTTTGGTCAAATGACTCAACAGTAGTGGAGAAAAAGGCGCATTAGATTCCAGTTTGATTACTTTTCTCGTAATCTATGTTTCACGATTCATCGCGTTTATCTACGTGAACAGATTATCAGAAATTGATATCTTTGTTTGTTTATAACCTTAAACATGACCCCCAATATAACTAGCGCCATATACCTCTAGCGCTCTTCAGATTACCCTCCATTCTGTAGTTGCGAATTTGCAGTTCTAACATTCTGATTTTTGATGACAGACAGATATTTGATTAATTTTAAATGAGCAGCTGTAATATTTCCATCGTTTGACATTGTTTGAAAACCATTGTTAAGTGATGGTAAAAATAAACTATTTTTTGTTTTATGTTGTTTTCTTTTATTACACCTTTTCTATTTTCTGATAGCTCTGAGGGTCTGAGGTAAGTACCATGGGGTATTATTGAATCAGTCAATGGAATTTGTTTTTTTTCCGGATACCGGTAGATTGTCAACGTCAGAGACTTTCCTCACAACTAACAGAAGGCAGCCTAGGACATGGTATGGTAAAACTAATTATGTCACGTTAGAACTTATTACGTTACAGTTTTGGCCAAAACCTTTATGTTTGTACTTTGCAGAGCAATTCTTGCCAGTTTGGGAAAAAGCGACACCTTTTAGTATACTACCATTAGGCGTAGAAGCATTAAATCCCTGGAACCCAGGTCCAATGAATGGGTTCTTCGATTCTTTGGGGGAATGCTTTTAGAATACCTTACATTCTATCAATTTAGTACGTTTTTTGTATTCCTATTGTTTTTATTTTTTATAGGTTAACTTTATCACATGTATAGGGTAATTCAAGTTTAAAATATACCAGATAGTAGATCGCATTAAATTGTAAATGTAAACTTATGAGTTGTTACATTTTTGTTTCCTCTAAAAAGTACTTAAAGGATTTATATGAAACTCTGTGAATCGGGGGTAATTATTAAGATCTCATTAAGATACTAATTAGCATTTCTTATATCCCAGTGGCGGGCCTATCAAATTTGAGTTGGGTATTTCAGGGCTTAAATACATACGCCACTGGTTTCTTTGTCAGTGCGCTCAAGTGTTTTTCAGACGAAAAAATATTTTCTTCGGCTTGTAGCAAGTAGTTCAAGCATTTGCAACTAGAAAAATTGCCACATAATAAAGCCTCTAGAATTAAACGGATATGTGGGAATACCTCTAGATTGCCCTAAATTCATTCATCAGGGGCGGGAAAACAACAAAACCCACAGTTTTTGATTGTAGCATATTCACTATAAAAGTAATGGAAAATATTTGACTTCATACGAAACCAAATCTGCGAGTTCCATTCTTTTTTATGATCGATGGATAAAACTAGTGCGGTCTAGGAACATTTAACACCGTCCAGTTTGTTCTCAGAGATTTTTATAGCTACGAACTCATAAAAGTGCTTGACAACAGGCCAAGCGGAAACCTTTGATTGTCTTACACAAAAAAAAACAGAGGCGTATTTATTTGAAATTTGAAATACCCGATTGAAATTTGTTGTGCCGTCTCTGAGCTGTCAGTTGGATATAACCAGAACAAATTGGGTCCCTTAACGCCAACCGTCGATTCACAGATTTTCAAGAGAAATTAAATAATAGAATAATCGAACTTTAATTGCTTATTGCATTTTTGTAATGACGCCGTAAAGTTTTGACGAGCTTTTTTGTTCGGTTTAGTGAGATCAGCTGCTATACTAAAAACCTAAATCACTGCATGCATAAATAAAAAAAATGAATAGAAATAACTAAATGAAAATCTCAAAAATCCGTTCAGTCTACCCGGGTTCCGAGGTTTGAACCTCAGAGCACTCGACTATTGATATTCTGTTGCAATGAAATTTCTCATCACTTCGATGTGTAAACGGTTTCAAAAAGACAAACTGTTGTCTATACATACAAACAATTTGTATGATGATGTTTTTAATCGCCTTCTGGAGATAAAATCTATGTTTAAACATTAAAAATGAGTATGTTGTAATCCATTTTATCAGTTTTCTGATAATCTTAAAACCATATTCACATCGTGCTCAGGGATATCCCACGTTTTATAAAATTGCAGTGTTAAACCATTTGTCAAATGCGCGCAATTGTTTATCAGTAGAAAGAAGGTCAAGGATGCAAATATAAAATATTTAATGGTCCAACAATTGCAATTGTTTATCAGCAGTCACAGGGGAAATCCAAGGCCGGCTATGGAATGCGTGTTTTCGCATAAAATTTCGATTTTTCGCTAGAAATTGTGGGAAACAAACATCAGTTTTAAAGGCAAATGCGTAAGCGATCTTTGAAAGAATAAGTATTGTATGATGCTGTGTGTGTTAAAATGTTCTGAGGAGTACAAAAAAGTTATATCGATATTGTCATAGCACAGCATAAACTGCCGAAAAGGTTTAGGACTTCCAGATTAAGTTGAAAATATACAAATTTTAGGAAACATCTTCTTACCTATTTTATTGAGATGTTATTTTTTAAAGACCTCATCTAGATGTCCTTCATAGAAAAAACACATAGGTCAATTCTTGTCGTGGTCTCGGTCGTGGCCATGCAATAGGTTCCAATAAAGTAAGACCTCAAATTTTGTGGAAAAAACTCAGGGGTGCGTATACCTGTATAGTAACCCTTACAATGTGATAAGTTCCATCTTGCTCAAGTCACGTCCGTCCATCAACTTTACGTAGAATATTATTTTGGCTGAGGTATAGAATAATTTGACAGGATGCATCTCTAGCTGTTACGCTTTTTCTATTTTCAAAGAAAACTTCCCAATTATTTGCTTTGGTGATATTGTATGGCCGTTGCGATCACCAGATGTGATACTCATTTTCTTTTCCTGTGTATTTATATGACGTTATTTTTTATAAATAACATTTGCACATCTGGCGCTTCATGTTCCATAAAATGTTACATGACAGTTGGTTTACCTTCCGTATGAAATGACAAGCATTTGCATTATAAAAGACATGCTATTAACCCAATAATGGTACAAAGTTTCCCCAATGAAAATCTATGTACGGAGTATGACGCGTCGTCAGGCCTTTCATCAAGCATTGTCAGCTGTGAAGCGAAAAAATCTTTCCAAACATTTTTATCAGCAAAATAGATTCCTCAACGTTCCTCAACTTTAACGTTTTTAAATATTTTTGATTAGTACAAAAGCAAAAAGTTGGTACAAAAATAGAATATTTTATTGGGTTCTCAGTTGGAGCAAAATCATCTCACCTGAAACAATAGACACTCAAAAAGGAAGATATATTGGACTGTGATTTGACGGTTGCGCTATTTCGTATTATGCTCAACGACACTCGGAGCGACAGACAAAAATTAATATAGCGGGCTCAGAAAACAAGCAGATTCTTTTAACGTGTCAATTTTCATCGTATGATTAACATTTTTATGTTCTATTCTAAAAAGCGGAAAAGTCTTAATATCTAAACGTAAATATATTTAGAACATCAAACGCTGGTTGATTTATTCCTAGTACTATTAGCCATCATATGCCAAATTTCAGCCTTCTATTAATTTTCCTGGCCCCAAGACCCCTTCAGGATTGGTCTATACAGTAGCGCTCTGTGGCCCGTCCATCCCGCAAAATAAATTCCTGCAACGACGCCCGCGACGGCAGTCGTCGGTGTGCTCTCGTTTTGCGCATGTCCCCGTTGCGGAATGAGGAAGTCCTGCGGATAGCTGTCTACACCGATGCCGGATGTACTAATTTGTAACGAAATATGTGATTTATTCCTATATGGTGCTGCATTACCGTGGATGAGTAACGTTCGTTGGAATATCGGTAGTGGGGAGCTACATTATTGATAGTCCGAGTAAAGGCAGATTTACACGCGACGTCTTATTGTACGTTTTGTCGGACATACCGCACAACAAAACGTCCGTTTTATCCAGTGTATACACACTACGTGTTTTCCCTTCCGCTTTCTACTACAATTCCAATCTAGACTCTTGAGTTGTGTGATTTGCTTAGTGAATTTTTTTGAGAGACATTTTTTTTATTAAGCGGGAAACACGGCTCCTTTTTTTTGTGGTTTCAACTATATGAGGATACAACGACTGAGAGCAAAAGAGATGAAGAGGGAAAAGACTTGATGGTCAAGAGACTGGCGTCTGAAAAGAAACCGGTATTCTCACGTCTCGATATTGAAACAACTGAGAGGCGAACGTGATGACTGGCGCAATCATTTGCGAAAACTTTTATACATTTCAATGAATCGCCCGAGAAAATCGGGGGTGCATTGCCGCAAGACTGACATTGCCTTTTTTTGTGGAAGAAAGAAGCGAACTGAAGTGGATCTACTCGTGAAGTGAGCCAAGATCGGACGTCTTGTCTCAACATGGGTCTACACGTTTTGTTTTGTCCTATCAGTTCTCGCAAAATGATACTTCTCCCATCAGGTTTTCAATCTGACCTTAGATTTAATTTCGATTCGACAAGACGTGCGTTTTGCTGTTTACACACCACGTTTTATTGGATAGGATTTGTGCTGTCCCACAAAACGTAGCGTGTAAACCCGCCTTAAAAAGAGGCTTGAGGTCATCCGCCTAAGAGGTGTCAATTAATTCAATGCAATTATTTTATTTATTGGTACCGTCAATCTACAACCAAATCTGTGATAATTATTTACCTTTGATTCTATTTTAGTTGATATAGGCGAGTGTTATCGAAAACATGTTTAGTATATAATGTTTGAAAGTCAACCCTCCTTGCACTAATAGTCCCTGTGAGACCCATAGAAGCAATCATGGATCATAGAAATATATACGTTGAAGGAGTAACAGTCTTCGGTACATATCCTCATCGGCATGGCAGGACATACACAAAACTATATCGTTACTCTTTTGAGAAATGCCATTCATTACAAAAACATTAAACATTAGCATAATCCTTAAGATTATAAGGCGCCATGCTGTTACCCCCATCACCATGTCCTTATTTTCTTAGACTGTAACCATGTGATGATTGCTTACACCATTGCCCCCTCCCTCCCCCGTCCAAAAAAGAACTTACCTCATGGATTCATAGTGCCAACCTGGAAAAAATCAATAAGCTTTGGTAAACAATCGGAAATAGCAAATAAAACCAAATAAACTTAGCTTATACGCAGTGTTTAAAGAAGTTGGCCCTATTTATTGTGACAGAGCACATTTATTGTGAACTTTTCTATAATCTGGTATCGTACAGGAAGAGGAGCATCAAAACACAGCGCAGACTACTGCTGGTGACTTTGAATTGATAAAGTCTGTGCGCGTGTATCCCACCATATTCAAAAAGATGCCGTGGTGGCAGTGGCGTGCGATATATTTTGAGGCTCTCTTCTTTTTTGGTATCCGAGTATAGTTTAAATGGGATGCCATTCATCGACTTTTTTATTATGATATTTCACTTTGAGCAATTGTATATAAAGCATAAGTAGATATATGCAAGACGTGCCAGAGAAATCAATTTAATGAAAAATTAGTGGCTTATCTGGAAAAAAATCGGAAAGCTTTTAATAATGTTTAATATTGTAAAATGACCATAAATACGACTTTACCGGCATAAGTTTAAGGTGATTTAAAACTCAGTCGTACAAGCCCCGTAAACCTTATATTAGAAGAAATATTGTGGAAAACGGCAATAAAAAAAATGGAAAATATACACTATGTTCCATAGGGAAATCGGCCATTTTACTACTATCAAAAAAATCTGAAATGATATATCAAAATGGAGTCACCACATAGTCATGAGTCACCATGCAGAGATAAAGATATATTCCTAGTAAGAAGCATGCTGTTGTATACACTTTTTGTAATAACCCCTTTTTATATATGCTGCATAATAACGAGTTATCGATCTAGCTCACACTAAAAAGTCAGAAAGTATGTCAGTACTACTTAGCACCCTTGGAAAGGTGTTTCACCTGTTTCTAAATTCGATGACCATGACCATGTGCGTATTCACTCTTTTAGCGTTGAACATTTTCTCCAGGTAGGGTCTTTAGAATAACTACGCGGTCCTTTATTCCTATATTTCGGAAGCTGTTGCTCGAAGTATAATTTTGACATAAAGCTACTGCTATGCTAATGATAGAACACAGAACATTTTTGACCAAGAAAGGAGAAGGAACAAGTAAAAGTGAAAAATTTTAGAGCATCAATAAACTTTGTTAAATTTCTTGTATGTCTTCAGATTATCTGATTATTTTTTTACGTAGTCAACACTTAAAATATGCGACAATTTGTTATTTGACGTTTTTGTACTTTCTGGTTATTTTGGGCTAAAGTAGAAATATAGGTTGTTTGAAAATTCTAAAACCAGGTATGTCTTGTAAGATTGCTACATATTGCTAACAACGCTTAGACTTTCTGTGTAGCTAAATGACCCTGAGCCGCATTTGATCAATTTGATTGTAAAGTAGTTTGCAAAAAACGATTCTCTTAGCGGTAATTTATGAGAAGGGTGTATGTACATTTAAGTATAGATACTAATGTGTGGGGATTACTGAGGCAACCAACTTGGTTCCGCTTCAGTTGTCATGTAATTCTCGAAACAAAGTTGGAATTTTGTCGTTTCGCAAAATTGTGTGCTATGAACAATTAAATTGATCGTGTTATCAGAAAACATAAAGTAATTATCCGTGGAGATAGCGGCCAAAGAAGCTATCAGATTATTAAAATAATATCGGACGAAGAGTTTTTTCAGACCGAATGACAAATTAATGAAATGATGTTGCTTTGCTATGACCTGCTCTGATCTAGTTTATCTGATCGTTCGGGATTATCTGGAATTGATGAAATTGGAAAGAACCGATTTGTTCCGAGTAACCCTAGGCTTACCACCGCTTGACGCTGTAAACGGCGGTGCGCACAACCTGCTTTAGCCGACCACTTATATGTCGCAGGCTAAATATTATACTACCATTTTTTCCCGAATGAAGGTTTTAGTTACCTATTCTGTGATAGCAGCTTCGCATTTACACAACTTCGGTCGGACCCAACAAATGATTAGACTGTTTGGCAACATTGTGTATGTCGGCGCTCTGGGCTCCGTTGAGCCGCCGCGCGCCATCCTGCTGTCCTGCCGCCTGCCGTCGCCGCCGTCTGACGTGACGACGTCTCCACGTCTGTTGCCGTGTGCCGTGTTTTCGCCGGTACCTAAAGCTCCGCGACCGCCTCGCGACCGATCAACAAACACGACCTTGCTTGATCGCGTTTTCTGTTATATTCGCACTTAGTGACATTGTGCGACAGAGTGAGTGACAACACCCCCTTGTTGGTGCCAGTGGTCGAATTTATCCTGCAATCCTGCTAGGTGAGCTGAGACATAGCATTTGTTTACCCGGCGTATACCTGCTATCCGCGTTGACAGCAGGGAGCATGTCCCCTCAGGAATTTAATGATTTGTTTTGATTAGACGGAAACACTCAAAATGAGTGAAATGCTTTGGCCCGACGTTCTTTTTCTAATTCTGTATGTAGCAGGAAACCAACATTTTTCAGAAATTGCGATACAGAAAGCTTTCGATCCCACTTCTGACAATGGCGATGCTGAAATTTAGAAGCTTTGGACCTTTTTAAACAGTTGTGTTAAACAGCTTTGCCTTTAGTGTTTCTACATGAGTAGTTTTTTGGCCACGATCTTTGTAAGGCAAAGTAAGAGTAAACCCTGAATGTCACTAGGAAAACATGCTCAAACATCACCACCTCATAGTGACATCGTGCGATAGACTGACCAACACCCCCTTATTGGTGTCACTGGCTGAATGTATCCTACAATCCTGCTTGGTGAGCTAAGTCATAGCATTAATTTGCTTACCCGGCGTATTCCTGCTATCTTGCGCTGACAGCAGGAGCAAGTCACCGCAAGAATTTAATGATTTGTTTTGGTTAGAGGGAAGCATTCAAAATGAGTGAAATGCTTTGGACTGACGTTCTTTTTCTGGTTCTGTGCGTAGGAGGAATCCAATATTTTCCAGAAATTGCGATACACGCGATCCCACTTCTGACAATAGCCATGCTTAAAGTGACAAGCTTCCGATCTTTTTAACTAGATTTGTGAAACAAATTTGCCTTTTGTGACTCTACTTTTTAGAAGTTTTGGACCACGATATTTGTAAGGCAAAGTAACAACATGACAACATTCTCAAAGGTCACTATCATGCGGCATAGCAATCAATGATTTGGTCATTGTCTTAACCTCTACAACTCTACATTGAACTACATAACAAAGAATACTGGAAATTATGGTTTTGCCTCAATTAATCAAGTATGACTTTGCTTGATCGCATTTTCTGTTATTTTCGCATTTAGGCCCATATCGACAGTCGTTCCTACAATTGTAGGACGCCTTTATGGCCTCCATGATTGTCATAGTTTTCTACTTTTCCGTGTCAGCGCTCTATTTTGAGGTTATGTCACAAATATCTATTTGCATCAAATTGTGCATACTTTTGATTTATATTATGTTTTATCAGCCTGAAATTTCCTACAATTTAAAAAGAAAACATATCTTCACAATAGGAGAGCGCTGACGCTGACACAGAACAGGTGCAATCTAGAAATTGTTGAAGGAGAGAAAAGAGTATGCCAATCAAGGAGGCCATAAAAGCGTCCTACAATTGTAGGAACGACTGACGATACGACCCTTAGTGACATTTTGCGTCAGAGTAAGTGACCAACACCTCCTTGTTGGTGGAAGTGGTTGAATTTATCATAGGTACAAACATGCTAGGTGAAATAAGACAGCATTTGTTTACCCACCATATTCCTGCTATCTTGCGTTGACAGCAGGGAGCATGTCCCCTCACGAATATAAGGGTTTGTTCTGATTATAGGGAATCACTCAAAGAGGGTGAAATGCTTTGGACCAACGTTCTTTTTCTGGTTCTCTATGTAGCAGTCAACCATTATTTTCTAGAAATCACGATACAGGCAACTTCCGATCCCACTTCTGACAATGGCGATGCTTAAATTGAGAAGCTTTGGACCTTTTAAAAAGTTGTGTCAAACAGTTTTGCCTTTAGTGTTTCTACTTAAGTAGTTTTTTGGTCACGATCTTTATAAGGCAAAGTAAAAGTAAACCCTGAATGTCACTAGGACGAAATTCTAAAACATCACTATCATATAGTGACATCTTGCGATAGAGTGACCAACACCCGCTTGTTGTTGTCACTGGCTGAATGTATCCTACAATCCTGCTTGGTGAGCTAAGTCATAGCATTAATTTGTTTACCCGGCGTATTCCTGCTATCTTGCACTGACAGCAGGAGCAAGTCACCGCAAGAATTTAATGATTTGTTTTGGTTAGAGGGAAGCATTCAAAATGAGTGAAATGCTTTGGACTGACGTTCTTTTTCTGGTTCTGTGCGTAGGAGGAAACCAATATTTTCCAGAAATTGCGATTCACGCGATCCCACTTCTGACAATAGCGATGCTTAAGTTGAAAAGCTTTGGATCTTTTTAAATAGTTGTGTTGAACAGTTTTGCCTTTATTGTTTCTACTTGAGTAGTTTTTTGGTCACGATATTTGTAAGACAAACTAAAAGTAAACCCTGAATGTCACTAGGATATTCTAAAACGTCACTATCACATAGTGACATCGTACGATAGAGTGACTAACATTCCCTTGTCGGTGTCACTGGATGAATGTATCCTACAATCCTGCCACCGAGTAAACCCTGAATGTCACTATGACAACATTCTCAAAAGTCACTATCATGCGGCATAGCAATCAATGATTTGTTCATGGTCTTAGCCTCTACAACTCTACATTGAACTACATAACAAAGCATACTGGAAATTATGCTTGATCGCATTTTCTGTTATTCTCGCACTTAGTGACATTGTGCGTCAGAGTTAGTGACTTACACCTCCTTGTTGGTGGCAGTGGTTGAGTTTATCATACAAACATGCTAGGTGAAATAAGTTTACCCTACATATTCCTGCTATCTTGCGTTGACAGCAGGGAGCATGCCTGCGCAAAAATGTCATGATTTATTTTGGTTATAGGGAAGCATTCAGAATAAGTGAAACGCTTTGAACCTTTTCAACCGACGTCTTTTTACTGGTTCTGTGTTGCAAGAAACCAATATTTTCTAGAAATCGCGATACAGGAAGCTTCCTCTCCCACCTCTGAGCATGGCGATGCTTAAAATGAGAAGCTTTGGATCTCCGTTGATAGCAGCTTTGGATTCCGTTGATAGCAGAGAGCATGCCTTCCCAGAAGCATAATGATTTGTTTTGGTTATGGCGATATTGAAAATGTGTTAGAAACTTTGAATATTTTTAAACGACATTCTTTTTTATGGTCCTATCCCGCTTCTGAGCATAGTATTGCTCAAAATAAGGACACTAGACCTTTTTATATGGCTTTGTGATTTAGTTTTTTTTGTAGTGTACTTATTTGGCAACGATTTTTGTAACGCAAAGTAAATCCATTAAGAACCCCCTATAATAAAATTCTCAAAAGTGACTTATTATCAGGCGAAGACGTAGTGCAATATAGGCTGGAATATATGTCTTCACAAGCGTTAAAGGGTTTGTTTAATATCTTAACCTCTGCTACTCTACAGTAGACTACATAACAAAGACTGTTGTATATTTTTCATCATGACGGAAAACCGTAGTTTGTCCATCTCAATGAACAAAAAAGGCATTGCTTGATCGCGATTTTTCTTGTTTTGACACCTTGATGGAATTTGTCCTGTAATCCTGCTAGTCGAGCGTAGACACAGCATTTCCTGCTATCTTGCATTGACAGCAGGAATTTAATGATTTTAGTTAGAGGAAATCATGGTGATATTCAAAATAAGTACATTCCTAAATGACGTTCTTGGATCCGCTAGAAAATGACTCATCTGGATGAAGCACACTGACGCGACCATGGGCTTGATTCTAAATGAGTTTCGACCATTGAAATTGATTTCAATGGCGCCTTGTGACGATATACTTGATGATAATTTTGACATCTGATTATATTAATCTCCTAGATTCAAATTATCATGAGTATATCGTCACAAGGCGCCATCAAAATCAATTTCTACGGTCGAAACTCATTTAGAATCAAGCCCCAGAATAGCTCCACGCTCCTGATTGTATACGTATACTAATTGACATATAAAACACCCAGTTTAAATGGTTTTATTTTAATAAAAGTTGGTGAATGTATTTATCTTACTGTAAATAACAAGTGAAAAAATTTTCAGCCTTATCAGTTGGACATTCCGGTTTTTATACTGCTTTTTTTTTAATTCACTAACGCTCTAAAAATGAATATTTCAGCCGCAGTAAAGAATCAACGTTGGCGGATTTTGGTTCTTGACATCCTATACGATCGGTTACGATGCCTAGAGTACGGAGACCTGTACGATTTCGTGAGTTTGCTAGGGGCCATATAATGGGACTTCGGGAAGCTGGACTTTCTTTTCGGGCAATTGCAGTTAGAGTGCAAAGAAGTGTAGATAGACACTGTGGTTAGGTGTTGTTAGGCATGGCTTCGAGAAGGCCGTACGCAAAGAGCAAGGGGGCACTGGACGCCGCCGTAGAACAACAGACCGTGAAGATCGCCGCCTAAGATTATTGGCCTTAAGGGACCGTTTCTCCACTACCAGGTCCATTGCAAATGAATGGTTTGCAGAACACGGAAGACCTATTGGCATGCGAAGTGTTTACCGACGAATGAGAAGTTTTGGCTTGTTTTCATACCGGCCACACTGGGTCCTCCCTTTAACTGGAGAACACCAACGTAATCGCCTTGAGTCGTGCAGACAACGGTCACTCTGGGATCAGGAATGGAACAATTGTCTTTAGTGACGAGTCTCGATTTTGTTTAGGCATGCACGATGGTCGTGCCAGGGTTAGAAGGCGACGTGGTGAAAGGAGGAATCCACAGTTTTTTGTTGAAAGACATGTTCATCACACTGTTGGAGTTATGGTTTGGGGTGCTATAGCTTATGGTTCCAGGTCACCTTTAATCTTCATCAGAGGTAACATGAACGCGCAGCGTTATATCCACGAAGTTCTAGACCCCCATCTTTTACCCTATCTTGACACCCTGGCAGATCCAACTTTCCAATAGATAATGCCCGACCACATGTTGCAAGAGTCACAATAGACTTCTTTCAACATAATGATGTCACATTGTTACCATGGCCACCAAGATCTCCCGACTTATCCCCAATTGAGCACGTGTGGGTTATGATGGGTAGGAGATTGCTCAATTTGCAACGTCCTCCTCAGACTCTAGGAGCACTTCGAGAGGAGTTGGTGGTTGCCTGGAATGAGATATCACAGGAGGACATTGACCACCTGATCAGAAGCATGCCTAGGCGCGTTGGAGAATGCGTAGCACATCAGGGTGCATCCACACATTATTAAAGGTCAAAGGGCTTTAAAGCAGTGCAATCATTTTGAAATTTTTATCATTTACTTATTATGCTTCATTAAGTACTTATACAAAATTTTATTAAAATAAAACCATTTAAACTGGGTGTTCGGATTTATATGTCACTTAGTATATACAGGGTGACTGAAGTTGAGTCATTAATTTTCAGATAATGATTGTAGAAGGAATATAAACCAAAATATGTGTGTAAAAATAAAAAAAAATTAAAAAAAATTTTTTACCTTGTTTTATAAAGTATCCTCCCGACAAGTATTTCAGTGCGGACCTGTATTTGATCGTGAGGTCCCCTGTGAGGTCTTAAGTCACCTGATTCACGAGCCCGTTGTACTACATTAACAAAGGCACGAGGGGTTGGTTGCACTCGATTGGGAAACCGATCCGCATAAACATGTGCCATTTTTTATTTCGTTTGAGCCACGCAACAGATACAACTATTCACTGACACTGACTGTATACAAATGAATGAAATAATTCGTTCCAAATTCTTTCGCTTTTTTGTTTCCGATGCGATGAACCGATACGACGGATTATATCCGTTGTCGCCAAACACGAGCACATTGAGACAGGGCGGTACTCAAACTTCCAAAGGGCTATAACTTTGTTACTTTAATTTTACCAGAAAAATGGTAAAGGAAAAAAACATTTCTTTTGATCAGATCTACTCACTGTTAAAATAAATGACTCAACTTCGAAGTCACCCCGACCTGCAGATTAGTGTCGCATATTTTTTGTCTGGCGTCAGTTGAGATTGTTTTACTTGTTTTCTACTATCCTGCGGTGACAGCAGGGAGCATGTCCTTGCTGGAGTTTAATGATTTGTTTACTAGTATAGGCGCTGCAATTCCTGCTATTTCTCTATTAATAGTAGGAAATTGCGAATTGCCAGAAATATCAGACATTTCACGATAATCTGAGCAACTTCTATTTATGCTTGTGACAGGAAATTAAAGAGTTTCTGGAGATTGTAGCTGGGCAGTTTCATGAGAATGTTGAATTCAACGATCGTTAGCTTATGTCTTACTGGTTATCGAATTAAATGAAAATAAGAACGTGCTAATTTCTTCAACGTTACTCCAGAATTGCTACGTTCAGTTTTTATACACACCGGCTTAAGCATTTGTATAATGTTCCAAGTATGTCTGGATGTTAGTCCGGAGTTCTTATCAGTGATTGAGTAGCAAATAAGTTAATTTCTATTTTTGTTTCATGCTTTGTGGCATTTCAAGTATGTTTCGATTATCATGATGAAAATGTTTGCACGCGTAATACTATTAACATTAAAAAGTAGCAGTAGAATAATTTTGGTTAAACAACCAGACATACTGATCTCAATCGAATGACCAAAGTTATATATACAGAGTGATTCAGAAAACAATCAAAGATCGTTATATCCCACTTTCAATCAAGTCAAATCAACTCAATGACCCCATTTTTTTAGGTTCTTTACTACCGCCCGGAGGTTCCCAGTGTCCATAAGGGGGCGTTATCGTCCACTTTTAGAAACACTGACATAGTAATGCTACGATCACCGCTGCGTCCCACCTGGACAAATTCCTTAATCAGCCCTTGATTTAATGGTATTGAGATCTATATCCAAAATCAAAATTGTTGGCAGTAAATTATCTCTGATGCCGAAAAACCTCTGTTGTCAGATTTTAGAAATGAATTTATCTAAATACTTTAAAATTGTATAATCTAAAGAGAGACCTATAGATTTTTAATATATCGCAATTCAATACGTATAGCTATGACAATAACTCATACTACTTTCTGTATATATTGTCAGGGTGTTAAAGTCATAACAATAAATCATGTCCACCTCACTATCATATGAAAAATTGCAATTTAATAGGAAAGTACATAACCTGATTCAACACAAAAATACCTCCTGTGCAAGAGACAGTTAGTGGTTAATGCAGAGATATGTGACAGGATAATCGAAAAATCCATGGTGTACTGGATGGGAAACGATGTTGTCAGTACGGTAAATAGAATAGAAATTCGAAATGCGACTGCAATTAACTTCAAGTCAAGGTTCATGATCATGAGTATGAAGATTAATGGTAATTATTGAGTTGAATAAATAGGTAGTAATTATAAATTGGTATCGCTGAGTATGGTGCATGATACGGTGCTTACTTGAACATTTTATGGCAAGCTTTTTGTATCTTATATCAAAGTTTGATTCTTGGGTTAGAGTAGCCATTATTTTTAAGGTTAACATAGTCGCAGGCACTAATTTGTACTTAGAGAACTAAGCAATTGGTAATACAAGGCCTCAATATTGGTATGAAGAAATTATGGAAAAATTCGAGATATGAACTGTCTCTACATGTGATGTAGGCTTAGAATTCGTAGTCAAAATTGTATTTTTGTCAACTAAAATAGATTTTTTACATCCAAGATAATGCAGTTTATGAGTGTATTCTTATTTTTCGTAGTTTTATGTCAAATTACCAAGGAATAAGAGGTATTTTTCTCACATCTCATGGAAGCCTAACCCACGTGGCAGAAGTATGGTTACATAGTACAGGGTGTCCCAGAAGTCGACGTCAAGCCGAAACCGGGTGATAGGCAAAGTCATAACAGCTATCAGAAAAATATTTAAAAAAATTTTATCTATGTGTTTTGAAAATTATAGGTCTTTGAAAAAGATTAGAAATTTCACACCCTACGGCAGTCTGTCAACTCCTGTTACTACAAATATTAACTTTTTTTGGATTTTATTTTTACAATGTAATGATGAATAATGCATCTTCAAACTGGTGTCTAAACCTTACTGCCAACTTTTCTCGTTCAGGAAAAATTGCCACTTATTTCCCAACCAAGTATTCCAAAGTAAAACTTTGCTCAACTTTAACTGGCTGTACTGGAAAAAATGTACTACGAGAGTTTGGCAAGTAACCTTAAAAGTTGGCGCATTTAATAAGGATTCCAAAATGGTATAACACTTAGAAGATTACTCGTTAACTTATGCACAATTTTTATTTGAAAAAAAACTGATGAAAATTTTTCAAAATTTCCTAATTAAACAGCGATTATGAAAACGCACAAGGACCCTTAAGGATAACTGTTTGCACAACAGTGGGCGTCAAAATGCTGCCGATGATGATTTACCTTTACAGCAAATGCTCAAACTGTTTTCCTTCAGCCGCAATACACGCTCGACATCTTCTTAAAAAAGATAGGGTTATTAAACGAGCGAATCCACGGTTATTAACAAACTCAGCTGCTTCCTATAGTCTTTGCCGTAGCTCAGCTACATTTTGAATCGGCTTGAAATACACCTTTTCTTTTACAGCTTCCCAGTAAAAAAATCTAAAGGATTCAAATCAGGTGATCGGGCTGGCCACGGTATTGTACCAGACCGCCTTATCCATCTGCCTGGAAAGTTTTGATAGAGATACTCTCTCACTGAGAGTGCATAGTGCGCTGGGCCACATGTCCCTGTAAATACTCAGTGGCACGTCCACCAATAAATTTTGTACATGATTTTTCAAAAAATCCAAATAAACTTCAGCAGTCAAAGTCTCTGGGAACTCAAACGGACCGATTATTTTACCATTTAAAATTCCTGTCCAATGGTTTATCTTGAAGCGATATTGAGATTTATCTTCTCTCATCAAATGTGGGTTTGCTACGTGCTACTCGTTTAAGTTATGCAGTTTCATGTACCCATCTTTCTTAAATGTGGTCTCATCCGACCATAAAATTTTTTCAAAGAACTGTGGATCTTTCCTGTGTCTTTCTAACATTGTGCGACAAAAAGCAACTCGGGGCTCATAATCCCGGGGCAGAAGAGGTTGAACACGCTGTATGTGGTATGGATAAAATCTAAAAAAAGTTAATATTTGTAGTAACAGGAGTTGACAGACTGCCGTAGGGTGTGAAATTTCTATATTTTTTTCAAAGACCTATAATTTTCAAAACACATACATAAAATTTTTTTAAATATTTTTCTGATAGCTGTTATGACTTTGCCTATCACCCGGTTTTGGCTTGACGTCGACTTCTGGGACACCCCGTATATGAACAGAGTGGGAAAAACTTATTAGATACACCACTTACAATTTATTGTTTCACAGTTTGGGCGACAAATTTTACTTGCGACGACAGTTTTTCCACTTATGATTCAGAAAAGGCAGTGAGGACAGTCAAAATATACTTTTTGATACAAAATATTGGTATTAAATAAAATTTTGTGGAATGAACCATATGGGATAGTATGTTTTCTTGAGTTTCATGAAGAATCTAGTCACTCGTTTACGTTGGTGTACACGTTGAGATTCAGATTTTGAAGAGCTTTACAGTTTTTGGGAATCAATCCACTGCTGGGGTGAGAGTAATCATCAAAAATCTAATAACCATCCGCTCCTCTATAAATTGCTTAATTGTAAGGTGTAAAAAATAGAGACCTATCGAAGGCACAATGTATTATTTACAAACATCAATCAAAGTGCGAACAATCATCTTGAAACAATAAGACAACCAACCAGTCATGAATAAGTAATAGTATAACAAGCAATTGCAATAATGCAATTTTTATCTTGACAGAACTCGACTATAAAAGAATCAGTGTTACTTTCTCTTATACGCCGACGCTGATTATATGCAAATTGTTTGCATAACAAAAACCAGACCCGTTGAAAGTAAAGACGTCAGAGATACGGTTCTGTAGCCAAGTATCCGGAGTGTTTTGGCACAAGCTACTAACATTTTATTCCGAAATTTATAGGGGATTTATAGATGTTTTGATCGATCATATATACCTAAGGATGCATCTTGTTTTTTTTTATTTATTATTGAGTCATGATCTCAAATTAGTGAAGCGGGTAGCATCTCGATGACAGTGTGCATATATACGTGGATTTACCTTGATATGTTTTTTGAACAGTCTTTGCACGTTCTTCACATTTTCTATCGTTTGTAGAATTTTATTTTTTCTGATGGTCAAAATGTGAGCGTAAATTTGTAATATGTTTGCTAGAATGTATGGGCATCACCAATTTCTATGTACTTGATCAGATCTATAGTTCTCGAACATATATATTCCCAATACCAGGAATCCACTATTTTTCTCGGAATTGAAAGTATTTCTTTAGGGTTACGCTAAATAAACGTAAGCAGACCCCGTCCACGAAACTATAAATATTGATGGTTATCAAACGATGAAAGGTGACCCGAAAACGAATGAAATGTAACTGAACTAAAAACCTGGATTTTAGTAATGCTAAATCCATATGGAATGAGGCGTGGATTTTTGAGCAGCTATTTATCACTTTTATCCACGTTTCCATGTAATATGTATATTAAAACTATTTACATTTGTGTATAAATGATCTGAATATAGTATTATAATCAATGCATTCCTTGGTACCCACATTCACCCGCTTGTTTTTGATGATTCAATCAATATTGTTAACAGCAAAAGAGGTTTTTATTTATTTATTATTTATTGATTGCAATTTTGGGTATTCACAGCCAAAGCCAGCACACACCCACTATGCTACAATAAAATATGAGTAATGTCTACTAAAGTATGAGATATTCAGATATATACGATAAATGATTATTATGATGTGATCATTGAATTGAAAACTTGGATTTTACTTTACGCTTAAAGATAATGATGTTATCACAAAAAATTCATCTTGATTGTAGGATCTTTGTGCTCTTACCAATGGCGAATTTATACCTAAGTTAGCACGACAGTATGGAGACTTAAACATGTTATAGATAATGACGACAATTCCAATCTGGAACATTAAACTGAACTAGGGAAAGCAGATTATTACAGTCATAAATGTTATTAACTAGTTTGAATATATAGCAAATATCAGAAATTATTCTTCTATATAGTGATAACATATTAACACTTTTCATGATTGGAACATAATTACCATCAGCGATAGGAGTGCCACATATGAAGGCAAGTGTACGTAAAAGCTTATGGTTGGATTCTTTCAATTCGATACGAATGAGTGGCGTAGAAATGATTCCATATAACTCAGGCCAAAAAAGTTTACTGATTACATAGAGGTAATACAAGGAAGTCCGGGTTCTTGGATTTTGGAAGTTTTTACCGGTCCCTTTTATGAAGCCCAACCACTTATTGGCTTCATTTATAGTTTTCTCGATATGGCAATTAAAATAAGTTTCTCATCGATATAGATACCTAAATGCCTTAATACCTGTTGCAATTCAGTATTAGCTGATTTATATTTGTGTTCTATTTTATTAATGTTTTTAGTAAGATGCATACATTTACATTCATCTAAGTTCAGGAGAAGTATCTTTTTGTTCATGTAATCGGCTAGATGATTAATATCTTCTTGGATATGTTTGCAGTCTTCAATACATCGTAAGATAATAAAAATTTACAATTTTTAATATATTCGCCGATTTTACTTAAATATATTATGATAAAAGTGGTTACAAATGACTTCCTTATGGAACTCCGGATGTTATATGAAATGCTTTAGATTTATAGCTATTAAAAGTAGTGATTTGTTGTTTCTTTGTTATGCTTATGAGGCTATTGGCACAGTGAGTTCTCCACACCCACTTCAACAAGTCTATCGAACAATATGTAGTGATATATCTTGTCAAATGCCTTGCTAGAGTCAGTGTAGACAACATCAACTTAGTAGACTCTGTTAGCAAAATATTAAGTTTATTTATCAAACTATTTCGAGGCTATGTGTTATTTGGTTGTAGTGTGACAAGGATTCTAAGAAAAATGGACCCCGAAGAGCCGTATCACAGGGTCTGCAAAAAGGTTTTGGCGCACCTTGAAACTGATCAACATGTAGTGGCGACTGTTGGAAGGTGTCCATCGCTGGTGTCGCGATTTTGATTGTGGGAATACGTCTTATGAAAACCAACATGACAGTGGGCTTCTGTAATAGTGACTGGTCAAAACATCTCAATGGTGCATAGCGAGATATCTAGAATTGCAGCGATCTATTCCGCAAACTTAAATTAACAATTGCCTGATGCTTTTGATTCATTAGGATAATGCTACCAGCCGTATCTGCATTACTACTCCTATAGGGCACTACACCGAGCTGGGTTTTGGTAGGTAGATTACCCAGATTCACCAGTATTGTCCCCCCAATAAACTCATGATATTTCAAAAATTATAACATTTACACTTGGGCAAAATTTTTATTGGAATGCCTTTAAAACGCTGGAACACTATCCAAACAAGAGCACCGATAGCGTAAAAAATGAAACAGAAATTGAATGTAGCTTTATTCCATTGGAGTCAGAGGTGGAGCATTTATGGATCGAACCTCGTAAGCATCATCACTGTATTGATATCGAAAAGGCTTGAGATTGTGT